TTGTAAAATAGTTTTTTTATATGTTGCACACCGGGTGAAAAGTCAGTCGTGTAACATCGACGGTCGCTCCTGTAATTTTAGCGCATATCTGGTTTTTTTATAATAATGAGTTTGTTATAATTTTGTTTGTGTAATTTCGACTTAAATGGAAATGATCGTTAGACTAATTTTAGATCCCTGTATTTTTATAAAATTTGACGTACATGTACAGAAAGGCCTTGAACTATAATGGCTCTCAAATTCAGTAATACATTTTTTAAAACTAGTATATATGTGTGTATTTTCTTTTTATAATATTATTTGCAAGTTTTTACTTTATTGTACGTGAATCACCTTCAAATTTAAAAAATTTTAAAAATTTAATGGTTCACAAGGAAAGATATTTAACCTACCTACCTCACGATGGTTTTAATAATCAAAGAATTGAATTAGAAAATGCAATATTCTTAGCATGGTTTCTAAATAGAACTTTAATAATTCCTCCTCTCCTATTTTTTAAAGGTGTTGCACCAATCATATCACAACCATATGATAAACTATATGAACTTTTAACAAGATTTATGCATCCTAACGACGATTTTAAGAATAACAATTTTGAATTTTGTTTTAGTGAAGATAAAACAAATTGTAACTTTGTATTATGCTTTCGAGAAGATCAAAGCAATTGTAGGATAGTATCCTACACTATGTATAATTGGGAAGAGTTGCTGGATTTTGCATTTTTGAAACAGCATATCAAGTATATTCACCGCCAAGATTTTAATCTAAAATATTTATTAGAATCACTTCAAATTCATCACGATAAAGAAGTGTATAATGTGACTAGTGATCAAGCACAATATCAACAACGGTATTACGATGACCCTACATCAACAATAAAGCTCGGTAAATTCAAAGAACGAGTGAATTTAATCGACTTAAGTAAAAGAACAGAAAAATTATTACATTTTGGAAGTGTGTTTTCATCGATTAGAATTGTTCGAGAATTACCTGAAAGCAAAAAAATTTGGAACAAATTAATAAATGAACTACTACCAAACAATCCAAAGATGATTAATATCGTAAATGGAATTATTGACAGAATTGGAGGAACGAATAGTTTTATTGGAGTACATGCAAGACTAGGAGATGGTTACTTTGTCAAGCATCAAAATGAAATAGTACAAGAACTTATTAAAGGAATTCAAAAAGATTTTAATCATACTGACATAAAAAATGATAGTGCTTGTTTACCAGCAACAATATTTTTGGCAACAGATGTAGAACGCAATCATAATTCCCTTCAACCATTCTTTCAAACTTTTCCATGTATATATATGTTAGATGATTTTAATGATTTATTAGAATCTTTGAAATTTTTAAAAAATCCTAAAGATGGTATGATCATGTATGAATTCTTAATACCCTTGGTAGATTTGTTAGTAGTGTCAAGAGGTAACAAGCTTTATAAAACACGCCGAAGTACTTTTTCGAGATATGCTGACAGGCTAAATCACGTGAATTGGACTTATTCCTAATGAATAGTTACAAATAATAGCAAATTAATGTACATTGAGGCAAAGGTTATTGTCCTATTATTGTTCCAATATTAGAACCCCATTTATTAGTGGCAACTCTAGCAATATGTGTACAATTAGTTACAAATTGAAGGTGAATTCTTGTGTCCACGTTGTAAACTTTCAACTTAAATTTTAATAAAATAATCCATTGACTCCTGAGTCAAGATTAAGATTAATAAAGTAGAACCAATTCTGAGGATTAATTAGTTGTTCCCAAAATGGTCTAATTGGAGCAGGTTTTCACGTCACAATTAATAACTTTTAAAACAGTAGAATGTGACGCATAATGCATAATAAGTTGGCCAATTATATTATTAAAAAAAAAAACTATATTATACTTGCCTGATAAGGGTACAAATAGGTTTGATTTAATTAGTTGACCACCCACCTCATAAGCTCCCGGCATTTACGTAGAGGTAAACTCAAGTTATGCACTATATAAAATGCAAATGTGTCAAGAAAGACTAAGTATCCATTATAATGTAAGCAATACAAAAATTATTGGACAACATATTTAGCAATTTTATTCATACGTGATGTTTACAATAACAATTCACTAAAACGTGCTTTATATGCATTGATTTTGCTGAATTTCCATATATGGTGGGCAGGAGAATTAATTCCACACGTGCATAATCAATCGATCTACAATTCTTGATTGAGAATTGGTGATCATCAATAAATTTAGTAATCCTACAATTCTACATGCATGGCGATAGCGATGCCATGGCAAAAAAAAACGCCTGTAGATCTCCCACAAAAACATTAATCGACGAATCTACCCCTAACGTGACTTAAACCTAATCTAAATAACCTAACCGGATCTCATTTAGTATAAGTTGGAATATAAAAAATACTATAATATTATTTAATATAAAAAACTCTAATTCAAAATATATCCCTAACCCTAACCTTAACTGTTCATAAATCTGTTTAAGTTAGTTTTACCGTATACTTCCGAAATTAAGCTACCCCTCGGAGCAATTTTTATAGTCAAAATTCTCGTGATTTTGGTACCATTCGAATCATTTTGGTAAGCTGATTCGAATGGTACCAAAATTACGTAGATCCGATCATTAGATCACAATAATTTTGACTATAAAAATTGCTCCGAGGAGGTGCTTAATTTCGGAAGTATACGGTATATATAATAATTATACAGTACACCCTCTCAAATCCGATACGCATGGTGGACAGCTTTTGTATCGGTTTTGAGAGGTTATCGGATTTA